TGGAATGTGCCCTCAGGGCTGCCCACAGAAGGGGGGGATCAGAGGAAGCCCTTCAAGCCTAGGAAACCCGAGGACAGCCCCATTCCCACCCCACAGGGGAGGGCTAAATCCCCTGGCAGCCTGCACAGAGGTGGACTGGAAGGGAGACTCAGGGAGATGGGAAAAGATAAAGTTTCTCATACAGGCAGTCCGAGTGCTGGCCAGGGAGCAGGTGTCCGCTCCTGTTCCAGTCTGTAGCTCACCAAGGAGGCAGGAGAGGCCTCTGAGAGGCTGGGACTGAGGCAGGGAGGGACAGCTTGGCTCAGCGCCTGGGGAGGGGCAGAAGGGGCTTACTGCTCGATGCAGGAAAAGCCAGGGCACTCATCTCTCCCGCTCACCTCCCCACTTCCTTCACCTCAGGGGTCCTCCCACTCCCTCTCTTGCTAAGCCAGTACCCCAGGCACAGGCCAGGGCTTCTCTTCTGCAACACTTCTGGAGGAGGATGCCCCCTGGGGTTGGTTCCAGTGTAGATGTCTCCTAGATCCGAGGACCTGGAAAGGACCCCCTCTTCCTGCTCCTCAGCCTTCTTTGCTTCCAGTCATGCCTCCCCCCAGTCCTGTCACTCCCCCCAGCCCCCACGATTCAGATTCAGCTGTGGTCCAGGAATAACGAGGCAGATGCCAGGAGGCCTCTGTCAGGGACCCCTTCCCACAGCTGTTCTCCAGGGCCCCAGGAAGGGCAGCCAGAGACTTTGGCTGGCTCCTCCAGGACTGTGTACCCTAGAGAGACAGATCCACTGACAACCTCACTCAACACTCCTCAGGGGCCCAACTCTCAGGGGTCCAAGTCTCCCTCTCGGCTTCCCTTTCACCAACCCTCTGTCTTCCAGTGACACCCTCTTCCTGGCCCCTTCCCAACTTCAGAATCCCTTGGTCTCTCCAGGACTCCTTCTCATTCCAGCCCCCTCATTTGCCAGGAAGTTTTGTCAGAGTTTGCTTAGATGAGGAAACTGAGGCACTTGCTGATATTAGGAGCCTCTAGATGTTACCTGGGGTCTTATAGGAGATGAGCCAGGCAGGAGGCTGTGGGCTGCCTTCTTCAAATACTCCAGCCCCAAATGGTCAACAGCCACCCTTCTGTTGACAATCCCTGTAAACACTGGGGATAGCTTCAGGGATAAACACAGAGGCCACAGGCCTCCCACTCACTCAGATGGCAGCCTGAGCCCAGAGCTGCTCCATCCTCCTTCCTCCTCCCCTCTTTGCTCTCCTCTTTCCAGGGCCTTTCCTGGTGCTCTGCCCCTGCAGGCTGTCAGTTCTCCCTTGCCAGGAGGAAACTGGCTGCTTTGCAGCAGGAGGAGTGGCAGGCAGGTCTCAGGAAGGACCACGAACTCTTGCAGGCTAGGAGAGCCCCCGGAGTCCTCACTCAGGCAGGGGTCTGAGTGGCCACTGCCCCCAGAAAGTCTTCCTGCCCATGGGGTCAGACAGGCTGAGCATTTTTGAAAGTCTTTGGGAGCTGCTGTGTCATGGTGGCGGGCAGCCAGGACAATGGAGGCCTTTCTCTCTCAGTGCAGGGGACAGGCCCACAGTCAGGGCCTCAGGGCTGGAACAAAGGCCCTAGTGAGATCAGGGCAGTGCTATAGGATTTAGTGTGTGTGTGTGGGGGGGAGGAATGGGGAGGTGGGTGTGGGGCAGAGCAGCCAGGGGAAGTGGAGGGGCTGTTGGTTGGCGAACCTCTGGAAGGCCATATCCAGGCCCATGGCAATATTGAAGCCTCTGCCTCCCAACCCTGCTGGATCTTCTCTCTCTATGGCCCTCTTCCCTTGCTCCCAGGGAACAGGACCTGTGGAAAGGTGCCTGAGAGCTGAACACACCCACACTTCCAGGGACTGGCAGGGTGGGCACATGATCAGGTCTGTGCTGTGTCATGGGGGTGTGTGTGTCTGTGTCGCACACACATGCACGCGCAGGGCCAGGGCTTGGATTTGGTGCAGAGCACTGCTGAGTCATTCCTGGACCAGCTCCCCTTTCCCCAGGAAGTCCAACAAAGCCAGGAGAAGGCTTCCGTTTCCTGCCAGAGCAGCCCAGCAGGTGTGGGGAGGGGTGCGACTTCAGGCCATTCATCTACCTCTGGGACTCTACTTGCCAGCAGATGAGAAGATGGGGGACCTGGCCTGGGGGTGATTCAGCAACAGTGCCTTGGTGGAAGGCAGAGCCCTCAAAGCCCTGCCCAGCTCACAAGCAGGGACTCAGGGAAACCAACCTGTTACCTAAATTCCCCCTAGAGCTGGGGTGTCACTGCAGGGTGGAGGGGGATCTGATGCCCAAGGGCCTGGCTTTAATCCCCAGCACGGCAACAAACATAGTCCACCCTTGAAAGGCCCCTAAGACAGACACTGCCCTCTGTTCAGCCTTCTCTTTAAGTCCCACATTCCAAGGTCCCTGGGTCTTTGTCTACTCACAATTCCAGCTAAGTGGTTTTTTTTTTGTTTTTTTTGCTGTTTTGTTTTGTTTTTTTAAGACAGTCTTGGGGCTGGGGAGATGGCTCAGTAAAATAAGCACTTCCCTGGTACCGAAAAATAAAAATTAAAAATAAAAATGCACAGTGGACAATCAGAGGATAAAGTAAGGGTCTTCCCTGGCCCCAGTACCATCCACTTGCTTGTATCTCCTAAGAAACCCAATCTCTAGCTGGGCTTGACTGAGGTGGAAACAGGAATGGGATGGGACAGGTGAGCCCAGGGCAAGGGATGAATGTGGTGATAGGTGGGTCTGGGAGGTTAGCGCTGGAATCTCATCCACCAGCTGTTCGGGATTTAGACATAGGCTGGGAGCTGCGTAGGGATGGCCTAGGAGAGCCCCAGTCATTACCCCCAGCAAGCACTTGTCTGGAACCTGTCTCTGTCAGTCCTGCCTCACTGTCTCTAGGTTTCCATATTTCTCAGGCTTTCCCCCTCTGTATTGCTGCCTCTTTGTTTTACTGACTTTTAGGAAAAGGAATAAGAAATAAGAATTGCCTGGTTTGGTGGCACATGTCTGTCATCCCAGCATTCAGGAGACTTGAGACAGGAAGACTGCAGTGAGTTCTAGGCCAGTCTGAGCTACATAATTAAAGCCCTGTCTCAGAACAACAACAACAACAACAAAACCAAACAAAAATAAAAACAAAGAATTGCCTGTGTGGAACTGGATGTGGTGGTGCACACCTGTAATCTCAGCACCCTGGGAGGTTGAGGCAAGAGAATCACAAGTTTGAGCTCATCCTGAGTAATTTAGGGAAACTATCTCAAGATATAAATAAATATAAAAATAGAAAAGGGCTGGAGATGCAGCCTTGGGTTCAATCCCCAGCGTCTCTCTAGAAGTGGAGGGGCTGTTCTCCACTTCTCTCTTACTTCTTGCCTCTCCTTCTCTGTCTCAGTCTCCCTGTCTCAGTCTCTGTCTGTCTGTCTGTCTGTCTGTCTGTCT